AGTTTGATAGCTGAGTGAATAATAATATTCATTATGAATTTAATAATAAATATTCTTCAAGTTCAATTCCTACAGACTTTATGGACACATCCTTGCAATTTTTGTAGTACTGATACAGAAAAGGTTTACTATTATCTTATTATATCATACATTTTTATTTTCTGGATCACTTGCAGTCCTTGTATTTCCTAAAAGTCTCCCATCCAAGTCCTTATTAAGCCTGACCCTGCTTAGTTTCTTTCTTTTTTAAAAAAACATTTTATTCAGTTTTTCACATTAAAAACAAAAATCTCTTTTTAGTGGACAACATATTTCCGGGTCATCACCTTTACATACAAATATGACAGCAATTATACATTCATATATGCATACTTAATTCTATTATTACCTTTTCCATTCCAAATTTTCAGTAAGGAGAGAAACAAACACATTAATTCTAGCCTCTTTCATTAATCTTAATCGAAACATCTTTTTGTTTCATTTCAATTATTTCAAATATAATCCTTGCTTTTAATAGTCTATATTAACTTATTAATTTAGCTGGTTCTTTAGTCTGTCATATTCCCTTTCCATTACACATTCTTTTTATAAATTCTAGATTAATACAAATTTTAACACTAAAAAAAAAACAAGTATAGATTTCCCCCCTTTTACTGTTTTGAGTGTGACACCTCAATGATTAAAATATACCTTTATTCCCTCATCTTGATTTCCAATAAACCATTATTTTTAAGAAGTTACAATAATAATCATTACATCTTTTCAATCCGCAGCATATTTTCCCCCCTTGATTTTTAATAAGAGTTATCAGTATCTATATTACCCTATTTTCTAAATATTTTTAATTGCAGAAATGTTCTTATTACCCCTTGTCACCCTGCAGAATCCCCTTTTTAATTCATCAACCATTATCTCTGAAAAAACAATTTCTTTTCAACATTTTACTAATTCTGTATTTCTTTATTTCATGCACCTGTTTCTTACTGCTTCTCCTCCCCCTCTTTTCCCCATATCTTTTCTCATTCCAGTTTATATCCCTCTCTTTCTTAATATCTTCCTTTCCCCTTTTCTGGGTCTTTCTGCCTTTCCTGACTTCACAAGTATTCCTTCTTTTGATTGCCTTCTTAAGTCTCAACTTTTTAGCCTTCCTTCTTTCCCCACTTCTTTGTAGTGTTCTTTGTGTTAATTGTCTATTTAAAATGTCTTCTCCTTGAATCGACTCCTCCTCCTCTGAAGCTCTTTCTTCTTGTTCTTCAATCGCCATTTCCATTTTTTCTAACACAGAGCAAAGTGATTCATGTCTTTCCTGTAGTAATTCTCTCATATTTTTAAGTTCCATTTTTAATTCCCGAAGAGATATCATCATTACACACTCTTATATTTTATGATTGTTAAAGTCCACAAAAAAAACACTTTTACTTTCCTTCTTTCTTCTTTCAATTTTCTAAAGTTCTCAGTTATTCCAGCCCAGGGTCTATACCAAAAACATCAATCAATCCCACAGTCAGTCTTTCCTTGCTTTTTTCTTTATTCTGGTTCTGCTTTCACTTTCTAAGATTATTACTTTGTTTCAATATTTCTGTAATGTTATATCCACACAAGTTCATTCAGAAACAGGATGCTTTCCCTTTTGTTTGAGCTCAAGTTTTTGTCAAAAGGTGGCACTCTCCATTATACAAAGTCTTCACCTTTTCCCCCTATTTTTTTATTTAGGGTTTTTCGAACCTCAATATTCCAGCCCAGTCCAGTCTCCAATTTGTAAACTTTATTATTATTATTTTTTGACAATCTTAAGTCCAGCTTTATTTTATGCCTGTTTATCCCCAAAATATTTTAGTCCAATTTTGTTAAATCTTTAGTTCCAGCTTCTTCCTTTCCCGGTTCGAAGCCCCGCTTAGCTGTCAAAAATATTTTCTTTTTCTTTTTCTCTGTCCCTTTGTAATTTCACCGCTCACTTTTCTTTTCTTAAAAATTCCATGTTACCTTAATCCCGGGGTACTTTTGTTTAGTTGTATTGCCCAGTTGTCCCGGTTCAGATGTTATCCACCTCTTTCTTCCCTCCTGCACAAATCTTAATCCAGCTGAGTCGTCCTCTTTGGGGTGGCCATTTTAAACCACCGCTGCAGTCGTCTTCGGGGGGAAAAAGACCAAGCCCGGGGGTGAGATGTGGCTCCCCTCAACCTGGCTTGCTACTTCCCCTTACTCCGCCGCCCCTCCAAGGCAGCTTCAGCCCCTAATCATAATAATTGGGGCTCTCCAATGAAAGAGCACGGACCATAGCCGCAGAGAATCGCAATCTACGGTCCATCAGCGAGGAGGCTCCGCCTTCTTTTTCCCCTGACCCTGCTTAGTTTCTAAGGCCAAACAAGACCATTCAGGCACTCACTGCTATCTGTTGAGGCAACAACACCCTTGGTAATAACTACAAAGGCAGCATCAATTAAACTTTATGTCTTGAATACTTTTTTCTCTCCAATTTCATTTCCTTGCTAGGCATGATGTATTAAACAAGTTCTATATAAGACATTAAATTAAGCCCAAATATATATCTATATATCTATATCTATATATCTATATAGATAGATATCTATATAGATAGCTATCTATATAGCTATATCTCTCTATCTCTATCTATCTATCTATCTATCTATCTATCTATCTATCTATCTATCT